CCCCCCCCAAAAAAAAAACCCTGACACTGACTGGCGGCTGCAGTGGCTTCGAGGCTTCTGGGGGCTTGTGGCAGAGTTCCCCATGCAGCGCAGGGCAGTAGCGGGCAGTGGGGATTGCCACCCACCTCCCCCATGGGGCAGCAGTTGGTGAGCTGAGTTTTTGTTTTTGTTTTTTGTTTTTAGGGCTGGGAGCTGGGGTGGGCAGGGCAGCCATGTGGGGGCTGGGACAGCAGGTGAGGGTCAGGGGGCTTGTGACAGAGCCTCCTGTGTGGCGTGTGGCATTGTGGACAGCGGGGATTGATGCCCGCCCTCCGGCAGCAGCCAGTGAGTGCGGGCTATTATTTTCAAAGAACCGGGAGCTGGGGTGGGCAGGGCAGCCATTGAGAGGGGGCGAGGGATGGGGCTTGTGCGATTCAGAGATTCAGCTGATTTGGCAGCAGCCGAATCTCCAAAACAGATGCAGCCAAATCGATTCAGGACAGTGATTCGAATCACCAAATCAAATCCCTGTCCCCTGAATCAGCCAAATCTGAATCCGAAGTGAATACTAGCCGCTTTGCACAGGCCTAGCCAATAGTACTACTGACTAAGGTACAAAATAAATCTGTATTGCTGCAGAGTTTTCCCTCTCCCCATTATAGTGTCTGGTCTGGTCTGGTCTTAAATAAGTCCTGTATTATGGTACCTAGCCATTCTCTTTCAGGTCTGTGAGATGACCCATTGACTGGATTATCAGGAATTTGCTCCTGATATAGTTTAAAACATTGCTTTTTATGGTTAGAAACAGCCCCTTTTGCTCCAAATTTATTTTGTATATAAAACCCCAAAAGAATGGAATGTAGGGAGGTAAGGGCAAAATACAGCTGTACCACCACCACTGATGCACATGCCCCCCCACACCCTTTGTACAGTGGAAGGGGGACACGGGCATAGAAAACCTTTTGGTAAGGTACGTCCATCATCAAACAGAAGAGGTGAAGTGAGTTCTCGGATTGTTGCTGGCGCTGCAGGGAAAAGACGAAGGCTCTCCTTGATGCACATGGTACTGTAAGTCATTTTCCCAAGATCCTCCCTGGAAGAAGCCAAAGGCAGAAAATAGGGAGAACTGGATGTGGCTACAAAGCCATTGGTCCAATTTTCTGAAGAGACTCAAGTTAGAGCTGTGATCTGGGAAATTGTCGGCTGTAAAATGAGAATGATATTAGAGCACATCAGAAAAGGATGTATCCACCAATGTGAGGGCAGAAGTTGGAAGGAGGCACTACATATTCCAGCCAGGTAGTGCAGGGCGAGTTGTTCCTCTGGTTTTAGCAAAGGGCTGGGGCGGGCATGTTCTGTCCTGCTCCTCTCCCCACTCTTCTTTACATTTAGAATAAACACAATTAAGCAACATTTGCTACTGCTCCAACTCTAATGTTGTATAGCTTTATGAACTGTGAGGGCAGAATGGATCCTTCCATCGTACATCCTGTATACCACAGGCAAGGTCACCCAAGTGTCTATAAATTTACAGGTAGTCCAGAAAAATGAAACAAAAAACACTGTTCTGTGCAATCCATTAAAAAAAATGGTGCTGTGAAGTGGCTACACCTTAGTGTAAATGAGCTGGGTAACATGGATTAGAGAGAACCCTGCCCTGGGTGTAACTTTGATCCGCCTAACAAGTGCTTACACCTAGTTTCAGGTGTTAATATGCAGAGAATCCAGGTGTTAAGAGCTCCAGGAGCTGCCCAAAATCCCTGTGTAACAAGGCCCAAAATGTGACCGCTGCTTAGAGCCCTGCAGTTTGTGTGGGCTTTTTGGTTCCTTCTCCCCTCCCATGCTAGCAAGTTCTGCCTGAGTGTCCCAGCCAGCACCTGCCTGTTCAGTACTCGCCCCAAAGGCATTCAGGATCTCAAGACCCTGGGCCAGGCAGGACAGAGACTGAGTTTTGTGGGTGGAAGGTTAAGGGGGTAGGGGGGAGGTGTGTGGGGGGTCTATGCCAGATAAGAGATGTACAGTCAGTGGGGGTGAGGGTTGCAGGGTGGGCTGTAGGAGGTAGCATGGTGCCAGGTGTAGTTAGGGGTATCAGAATGTGGAGATGTATATGGGATCCCCAAGATGTGGGTTTAAAGCCACTGTTGCAGTCAAGTAGGGTTGCTAACCCAACATATATATATTTTTATTGACAGTGAAAGCATCTGTCAGTAAAAAGTTTTCAGATTGTCAGTAAAAAAAAAAATTCTTGAGTGGCAATGTGTACCATGGACCAATTCTATTGACTCAGTTTCCTTTGTAATAAACCAAACATTTCCAAGAAGACATCCAGAAGAGAAGCAGAATCCATGACCTACCTTGGTTTAATATCAAGTGGTTACTCAATGTCTTTAAAAAAAATCTTTCCTCTTTCCTAAATTCTGAATTTCTCTGGATTCACCTTCTCATCATCAGTTCTGGTTATGACTTTTTCTACTGGATCTTGGGAAAATGAAACTATGAAACTATAAACTATGGATTTAAGACCCTTCAGCACGCATTTTTTTTTCTCTGTATGAAAGTACTATACCTAGTATAGACATGTCATTTCTGTCAATGTTTAAAAACCTGAGCAACTCAAGCTCTTTAAGCCTCTCACTAATGTAACATATAAGTAGACAAAACCTTGGCTGGGATGATATAGATAGGGATAGTCCTGCTGTGAGCAAGGGGTTGGACTAGATGTGACCTCCTGAGGTCCCTTCTCACCCCCGTTTACTATGATTCTGTGCTTCTAATAATCATCTCTTCAGCTCTTAAGCCTTTCTATGCCTCTTCTGTACCCTCTCCAGTTTTGCAGCTTCCTCCTTACATCCTAGGTGCCAGAATTGTATCTAGTAGAGGGCTAGTCTCACCAATTCTGTGTACAGAGCTGAGATGCACAAATTTATACCTTTATTTGTCTATATCAAGTTGCAAACACTATTCCATCTTGTGAACGCCTTTTTGGTTATAACATATGCTTCACCCTGCAGGTGTTGGGAGAAATCCCATTCCCTGTTAGAGGGGTCAACTAGGAAAAGCCTTAAAGAATTATCTAGCCTTCACTTCCCCTCATTCAAAAGATTTAATTCTGATCCCTCTAAGACAACCCTGTTCAGTGATAATCCCCCATGACAACTCCTTTAAGAGATCTGTCAGTTGGCCAGTGCTATGGCTTCATATTCTCACCACCTCCTCTGACAACAGGGGCTCATAATGAAACATTTCTCACTTGTTTTAGGAAGCTGAATAAGCTAATAAAATGGAAGCAAAGTATGGAGCTGCCACTAACACCACAGTGGAAATACTATGACTTTGGGGGGGGGGGGGGGAAATACTTTTTGCCAGGGTTGCAGGAGGTGGACGGAAAAGGACAAGTGGGTCTCACCACTGAATAGTCTCCTGGTCTCCCAGGATCTCCTGGATCTCTTCTCTGCATCTCTGCTGGTGCTCTGGGTACAGGGCCAGGCAGTAGAAGAGCCAAAAGATCCCACTGGCTGTGGTATCATGACCTGCAAACATGAACGTGTCCACCTCAGCATGTAGGTCCTCATCAGATAATCCATTTCCATTTTCATCCTGATCAAACAAGGACTCTGTCAGGGGTTTATGGCTTCTTCCAGGACAGACCAGTCAGGTTTCCTTATGTTCAGATCTCAAGTAGCAAATACTTTACATAGGGACCTCATTTTCATTACAGGCCAGATGATCCCTTGTTACCTCTCAGCTCTGTGTTCTTGGGGAGCCCTGGCACTGCATGCAGCCTGATTGACTCTCAAAGGATCCCCCCACCCCACCTCTGCCTGAACAAGAACTGATGAGAGGAAGGACTTACAAAAGACAATGAAGATGCAGTGGGAGATGCACCTAAAGCCCCCCAGACAAAGGTGATAGGAGTGAAGCAATTCCCCTGGTTTCATTTACACGGGAGATGGAACCGGATGACAACTCATTTATATGGGAGATGGGACAGGAAAGCTCCTTCATTAGCATCCAGGCTGGAGAACAGAAAGTCCAAGACAAGGATCTCACTGAATTCTGGGACCGGAGAAGCAGGCGAGCACTGCATGATGGGGGATCTCTGCTCCAAATGCTGATCAACCCACGTCTGCACACACCCAGCTTGGCATTTATCAGACTAATTCTAGTAATGACTCCTTTATTAGTACCCAAAACACTGAATTTGCCTGTCTATATTGTGAGCTCCCTCGGAGTAATAGCCAGGAGTGATCAGTCCCTATTATCCAGCAGATGAGCCAGTGTTTACCCATAAAAAAACCTTGTGTTCTCCCTTGAGCCATTGTTAGTTCTCTACCAAAACCCCTACCCAATCTCAAGTTTCTGTCCTGGTGCTTGGATCCAAAAGCTGCACCAGCTCCACTCCTTTTCTGCCTGGGTCCCTCCATTGATCATGCTGAGGGCTCTACCCATCTACCAGCTTCAACAAACACCTGGAAACCTCGACTGGTTCAAGCTTCGCTGAGTGGTGAGACCCCAGCTCTCTCCCTCTCTCTCTCTCTCTCTCTCTCTCTCTCTCTCTCTCTCTCTCTCTCTCTCTCTCTCTCTCTCTCTCTCTCTCTCTCTCTCTCTCTCTCTCTCTCTCTCTCTCTCTCTCTCTCTCTCTCTCTCTCTCTCTCTCTCTCTCTCTCTCTCTCTCTCTCTCTCTCTCTCTCTCTCTCTCTCTCTCTCTCTCTCTCTCTCTCTCTCTCTCTCTCTCTCTCTCTCTCTCTCTCTCTCTCTCTCTCTCTCTCTCTCTCTCTCTCTCTCTCTCTCTCTCTCTCTCTCTCTCTCTCTCTCTCTCTCTCTCTCTCTCTCTCTCTCTCTCTCTCTCTCTCTCTCTCTCTCTCTCTCTCTCTCTCTCTCTCTCTCTCTCTCTCTCTCTCTCTCTCTCTCTCTCTCTCTCTCTCTCTCTCTCTCTCTCTCTCTCTCTCTCTCTCTCTCTCTCTCTCTCTCTCTCTCTCTCTCTCTCTCTCTCTCTCTCTCTCTCTCTCTCTCTCTCTCTCTCTCTCTCTCTGACTCCAGGAGCCTGACTTTTGTCCTCTTACTCCAGGCACAGCTTTCTAAACCTGACTTTTCCTAATCAGACTTGAGCTACGCTTCCCCAAGTACCTAATTGAAACTATGCAATATTGTAACTGGTTTATTTGTCTCTCTTGTATGGCTGTTACTACTGGGATCATCATAAGTCCATATACCTGGCAATAAATAACTTTTATGGTCAAGCTGGTTGCTATACTGTCTTTGAACCTCAGCTACCGTTCCTTCCCCTTGACCTCCCCATTTGCTCTGCATCAAAGCTTCTTTTACCTAAGCCAAAGTTCCCTGTAATGCCCAAAACTATGTTGGGGTCTGCTCATCAAGGGAGTTACTATTAGGACCATTGTGACAAGAGATTGGGATGTGCTGAGTTTTGAGGTGCATGAGGGTATCAGCTGAAAGTGCTGATCGGACCCAGCCTGCTCAGATGTATTCAGACACACACGCTAACAAACAGCATTTATTATTTTCCTGATGAA